ACACCAACTGAATCACTTTTATCATTTCAATCCATAAATTAGTGAGAGACAAAAGAACTTTATGTCACAACCTTTTTCTTTTTTTGTGTTTAACAAAGACACATTTCGTCGAATCAAATAGAAATAGCAATGGTTTTGTTACGTAAGTCACCTTGTCATTCAATCCATACTCTGTCATTCATTGATAAAGAGGTAAAAAAATATGTGCATGCACAAAAATATAAATAGATATGATATGAGATCGAACAATAACATCAATTATGTCAATAATGGTCCAAAATGATAGCTTTATCAAAGTTTACATACATCATTCATGTGTATCCATGGCAACAATAATAAAAATAACATCGTGAAAAAGATATTATGTAGCACGTCAATCACTCTCTCTCTCTCTCTCCCTCGCGTGAACGAAGTCAAAAGAAATTCCACCCGAATTTATATTTTTTGTGGCTTCCTTTTGGCATCTTCTTTTTCTTATGTATTCAATGCCAAAATTCTTGGGTCACGAAGAGAAAACCCTTTTTTTACCACGACCGAAAAGTTATAGGTGCAAATTTATCCGTCGATGTGGCTTCATACTGTCAAAGGTGAGCCATTTTTTCCGACTTGTGTTTGATAAAACTGAATAAATACCGATATGAGTTGTAAAATTTGATAAAAGTTAAATTCGAATTTCGTTAGGCCGTGCATTGACTTGAAAGTCATTTGGAATTTGATACCTAACTTAAAGCATCTCGACAATTTAAACTTTTGTACTTAAAATATATTGTACATTGTTCATATCTATTGCTTGCTACTTTATGGCATGTTATTTCAAGCATTTCGAATACATTGTATGCCGCATAGATTATGACAACAAAAACTTTCTTATCTAATTCACCATTCAATCTGTGCAAACATTTGTTCACACAGATCAATATAAAGCCAAGAATTCAAGTACAACACGACGAATGTGTTTACTAAATTGAAATAATATTTACTAAGCCACAGGAATATTGTTATTTCGATGATGTGGTCGAGCGATTTATAGTGGTGTAAGTGTAAATGTTGATGCAGTTTGCAGTACAAATGGGTCGTGAGTTTGAAATGTCCACAATTTGTATAATATTGAAATTTCAATTAACACGTTATACGAATACTAGGTATTGTACACAATAAAATATTCAGCAAACTGAATCCCATTGAGTTTAAAACGCAACATTGACTACATCGGTCAAAATAAGTTTTACTTGTATGCAAAATGCTCTGAGCATTTATCAAATTTCAAAGAATTTAATATAATACTGAAAACGGCAACAAGAAAAGTTACGTAGACCTCATTCACATTCAGCCATTTTGGATAACATAAGTAGCACTAGATAAATAAATCGTTTCAACCGAATTAATTTACTGCCACTGGAAATGTTCCAGAATCCTTGTGTTTTTAATCCAAATATGGTACATACATGTTTCATGTACATTCAACGAATCTCATGCTCACAATATGGAGGAATGGAAAAGTTTTTTTTTTCGAAGTCTACTCGAACTCAACGAAAAAAAAAATTAATGAAATGTGTAACTTTTTCGAACATCGAGCATCTGATGTCAGAAAAATTCGCAAACATGCCTGTTCCTAATTTATGCAAATGACATACATGTCTTTCGACACCATACAACCATCCAGTCCCGATGTTGAAATGGTGTCGAAAGCGTACTTTGCTGTAAATTTATTTGAATCCAGTACACATGTGTGAACGACCGATTCATTAGTAGTTGTACGTGTTGAACCGAACGACTGAATGTTGATCGCATTGCTGTCGTGTGCATGAGTTTTCGGGGCGTTAGCGTTTTAGCATGTGAACTCCATTTTCGCCACAATTTAAAATTGTCTCAAACAAATGGAAAAACACATTTTCAATTTAAAACCCATGTGTAATCATCGAAATTAAGCAAAAGTCTACATTTCGAAAGAAAGAAAGAAGTGAAGACAATGTGTGGCGGAACACAAGAAAATTGAATTGGATAACATTGCACTGCAAAATGTTTGAATCGATTTATGACAATTACTTTATGCCATGAGCACGAAAAAGCAAAAACCAACCGAAAAACATCGACATTAGACATGCGTTGAATAAGTTGAACATCATCAACTAACAATATAAGCGTTTCAATCATTAACATACGACCAAAATTTGCCACTAAAACTCACTCTATTGAGAAGGAATTCACTTGTGATGCAACGAATTTGATGGAATATCATGTCCGATTTGAACATTTTCCGGTTACATGAACCTGTTTTTGCATTATAATCCATTGTCCTGGACTCGTCTGAACATAAACCATTTTGATGATAATCATTGAACCATGAAATATACAGAGAGAGTACAATACAAAATGCTAGCTTAATAGCTCGGAACGAAAAGAGTAGATTGTTCAACAAAGGGAATTTCGGTATCCATTCTGAATGTGTAGCAACTTTTGTTTCTATTGCTGAGCTGGCTAGCCGTAGCTAGAATGTCAACGAAGTTTATAGGCATTCATGATGACGTGTTTAAAATTACAAACTCAAATGAGTGTTCTGGCCATTATTTCAATCGGATGGCGGAATTGAAATAACCATTCAACCACAAAATAACATAATCACGAATATCTTTGTTACAATACGAAATCCACATTGAAAGCATGCATGCTTTCTATACACATATTAACACCACGGAAAATCTGTCATTTTGACTGATTTTCCTCTCAATCCTAAAATGGGAACACCAAATTTAATGTGCGTCAGTTCGCCAGCATAGTTATCTAAAGTAGTCGTTATTTCGGTTAGCCGTTCAAATACGCTCCTCGATGCTCATCATACATGCATACAAATAAGAGCGTGATATTTTCAAAATAAAACGAAAGCAATTTATATAGTGAAGATCAAATACGATATTTTTGAAACAGAACACACTACTCTACTTTGCAACTAGTTTAAAACCAAACAAATGCCAAACACAACACATTTTCAAAGGAAATAGTGGATGTGCGTAAATCATTGCAAAAACAGCATATCATCGACATACCCAATATTTGCGTTAGATTTCGCATTTGGGCGATGTTGCACATAAACCCATACTACATTCGAATCAGATAATATTCTACGACTGCAGAATGAACACATTGTAGAAATGCTCAATATTGAAATAGGTCAAATGTAAAAGCAGCAAGATCGAAAAGTTTGTATATTCCACATGCGAATATGTGTACATATTCGTATTCCTACCAAATAAACAAACAACAACAATAAAAAAAATGCTACATTGTACGCAAATCCGATGTGAATGCATCCAGGATATTCGTTTTGGAATTTTTCCACATTTTATCGAAGTAGTAACGTAATTTGAAATACCAAAATTGATCACTACAGTGACACAGCAAAAAAATAGATGGTACAGTGAGATAGAAGATAGTTACCATGGACACGTCCTGCCATCGATTTAGTTCGAGCATCAAATTTAATATAAATACTAGCCATAGTTTGTTTGAAGCCTAAAATAATATTTATGGTCGAGATGTGGATTGGAAAATAAAAAAAAACACGATTGTTTCAGAATAATAGTTTTCATGTTGTTTATTGAGATATTATAATATCCCTTGGACATTTTCAAATTAAATCGACCAAACAGAAAAATAGTCGTGATAATTTCACCGAAAATTCTAATTCGCAATTACCTGCATAGGCATAAAATAAACAAGAATATCAATAATCCCAATATAATAATATATTATTGATGAAATACAATGCATATTGGACGCGTATTTATTCAGAAAATTTAAGCTTTGATCGAAAATTACATGAATTTACAATATAATATTAATACTAACATTGGATGCATTGAACAATATGTAACTAAACAATTGCATGCGTTCCATTCTAAATTGTAGAGTTTGATGCCATCAACTGTTGGTCCATCCATATAAAATCTCTTCAATAACATTTAATTCGTTCTGTAAATATTTTCATCTTTTTTAAAAATCACCATTTTTATACCAGTTCTGCGAGTGAAAATGACTGACAGTGATGTCGACATCGTTTTACACACTGCTCTCGTGAACAGGCGAAAGCCATCACGTTCAACGAAGAAAAAAAATGTTTTTTTTTCACAAATGGAAAAAACTGTATTATTTTCATTTACATTTGTGCCACGTATTCGAGATATAGATGCTTTTTGTACATTTTTTATGCGTCTTGTTGATGACTCGTGTTGTAACTAGCATACGAAGCAATGTTTCTGTACCATCACTCATTTCTGGCAGCAAATAATAACATGTACTTGCTCAAATTCTCTTAGATGCTATATATTTTTTTGTGCCACGGACCCTGTTCTATCTCGCTACTTTTTCTTATGATAGTATTTTTATAATTGGGGTATATTTGTACTTCGAAGATACCATTGCCATGTTGATCATAAAATGGATATGACTATTTGGTTAAAGCTTTCTCTTTGTAACTCCACAAATTATTAATAAAAGTGTACTATAAACATTAACAGTGACGTGTAGTCTGATGCAAGATAATTACTCACTTTAATCAAACCATCATAAACCGTAAAGTTGGCGTGGCTTTGATTTGGCAAAAAATAAACACAAATTCGAAATAAAAGAAAAAAAAATAACAGAAATGACCATTTAAACACACAAGAACCGTGAGCTATACCCGAGCCATATTATTATCAATACAAGTATTCATTTCACGTAAAATAAGATAAGCAATAAAAATTCACTGTTAGTCTAGTCTCTTGACCTATGTGCCCTTTGAAGAATAAAAAAATATATATATATTTCATTCCCACCGCGACTTATTTATTTCCATATAAATTCGTTTTGGCAAGCCTGTAAACCTTCCACAAAACAAACTGGGAAACGTGGGCCGAAAATTGTCAGAAAATGTGTAAATATGGAAATAAAATGAGCGACAAGAGCGAAACGAAAATAAATAATCTCAAGAATCTAAAGCAAGCATACTTCTTCCCATACAGCTTTCATTTTCTTCTTCTCTCCACTCACTCTCTATTGCTCAAAGTTTACATTTCAACGTGCATAATATTACACCTATAAGGAGAGAGCAAAAAAAAACGACACATCTGTAAAACTGTGGCAGAAAAAAGGTATACTTAAAGGAAATCGGCACCTGGCTGTTGTTATGATGTATAATTCGTTGAAGTGCGTGTGCAAGGACCGACTGAAAAGCGAAAACAACAATACCTAAAAGGAACAATCCAAAATAAATTTCAAAAGAACATAAAAAAGTGCGTGGTAAACAACCGTAAAAAAGGTAAAATTGCAGCTTTGCCTTTGAATAAGGCGAATAAAGAACAGAAAAAAACCGATTTGTTTGAACATAACAAAAGAAGACTCTCACTCGATTTTTCTCCTCTGTCTATGAGCTCGCACTCGTATAAAATAACGAAATTGTAAATTCACTGGAGATTGTGTCAGTAATTTTGTGAATTATCTCATTTAAAAAAACATTTTCGACAACTTGCTGCACAAAATAAATCATAGCCACTCCCGAAAACAGATACCAAAGGCATTCGAAATATTTGAGAGGTTTTTTTTGGCTCCTCTCGGTTGAGTTTTTAATACGAGAATATCCAAGTTGAAATTTCCATAGCTGAACAAAAAAAAAAAAACAACAAGATCGACAGCCATTTTTTGCTGGATTAACGCGCAAACCTCAAACAACTGTTTGATTTTGTAAAATATTAAACATTCCTTTAAGCCCCCGGATAATTTCGTAATGTAAATTACCACATGAATAAAAGAAAAAATTGAAAACAAACAGAAAATCAACGTACGGTTTTTTGGTACAAACTTATATCATACAGTGCGGAAAAATGTGTTGCATACTTGCTACCAAGTTGGATAAAATGAAAAACTGAAAGTAGCAATCATACATCAGCCGTCAAACACAATAATAACAACAACATTACTTACTGTAGAGCCACATAAAAAAAACACCACCCGAATTGTGACGAGAGCCAAAAAAGCTGATACCGGTGTTGGGAACTGATAGGAATATAATGCGGTGAACAATAACAATATGTGAGGATGGAAACATTTATTGTGTTGGGATTTTGCTTTATATTGTACGAGGCGTTGGATTTCTTCCAAAGCTGTTACAGCAACAATAACAGACATCAACAACAGCATCCGCAATTCAACAAGGACATTAATGCCACTGATACAAAAGAAACTGTCGATAACAATGATGAAAATGCGACCAATTTGCAAGATATAATTACATCGGTGTCATTAAGTGATGAAAACCATGTGAAACACAGCAGTGAATTCAATTTACCAAGTTCAAGTCATTCAAATTATGAGCGTAACAATAGTGTTGATTTTGAAAGCATTCGGTCATATGACAGTGAAGAAACAATTATAAATAATCAATCAAATCGCAAGATCTTTTCAATTTGCGATCGTGTTAACAATGTTAATCGTCAACCGTTGATCGATTATCAAAGCGAAACAAAAAACCAAAACTACATTGACTATGATAAATTAAGTACAAGCTAAGCATTACCACCGGAAATTATATAAAACATCGACAGAGCTCGTATATACAATACACATCCATAATCATGATGGATAGCGAACGTGTACGCGAAAGTATGAAAACGTGCAATTGTTTCACGGTAAGCCAATTGATATGTTTACATTGGAAAACTTAGACGTTCTTTTCTTTATTTTGCCATTTATTATTATTTCATTGTGTCGTTTTGCGGCGCCGTATTCCTTTCTGGGCGCCAAACATTACATTTAGTTTCCGTTTTGTTGGGTTTTTATTTAAATCATGCTTTCACTTTTATCACATTAGAAGCAAATGTGTTTTGAATCTCCTATGTTTTCAAATTTATCATCAGCTCGGATAACTTGAGATTTATTTTTCGTTTCAACTTAGTGCATTTATGTAAACGTGTATGTCATGGATTGAGTTAAATTTAGTGGCGCTTTAACGATTTACATTCATTTAATTATTCCAATTTTAATATTACATCACGTCCAACTGTTTACTTATTAAAATTCGAATATTTGGATTTATCAATTTCGTAAGACGCCGATTAATCTCTTTTATGTATACCAATTCATTGTATTTCTTCATTCTGATTGAATTTTGTAACAAAACATTAAACTTAAAAACATACACACACACTAAGTACACATTAAAATGAATCAGGGTAAACGACAAAACGATTTTGGATATAGGCGAACAATCACGTAACAATTACACTCACACTCTTCAGATAAATGTGAACGAAACGCACCATATCTTGAATTGTATGAACAATCGGAAAATTATTCTTTTTTTACTTGTTGTTTTCACAAAAATGCTAAGTAAACAGCATCCTCAGTCGAATTCAAGCAAACGACTTTATTTTGTGAAAACAAACACATTTTTTTGCGAGATAAAAGATGACTATATCAAAGATTGGAGAAAGAAAACAGATTGTGGGTAACGGTAGAATGTGAAAAACAAACAAGGACAGTATGTTATAAAGAAGAAGAATCAATTTTTAAAATGAAAGTAGAATTCGGCATTAAAATTTGGCGATTCAGCTCATGAAAATTTCAAACCACCGAGAAAATGAGAGAATATAATAAATTCAAAGCCTACTTGAAACGTATTTTTGAGAAGTAGCAATTGTTCAATGTAAAAAAAGTTCGTTTTTTCCTCATTTAACATTAAAATTGAATGAAACAAACGAGAGGACAATGTTCTCAACGATAATGAGCCGTACCGGAGTAGATGTAGAATGTTAAGCTTGTTGAAGTTTCAGACATTTTCTGTTTTCAATGAATTGAATGTCATGCTTTTAACCAACTGTGTCCTCTGCAACCGGATTAGCCTATGAAGAGACAAAATGCGAATTCCCCTCATCTGTGCCATCTTTCATTCCATAGTTGAACTCAATTTAGTTACAATGAATTGAATCGAAAAAGAGAAAAAAAACAACAACAGTAACATGGCTACATAGATCTGTTGACCAGTGAGATACGTATAACAATGGAATGAAAGAATGAAGAAAGCGTATATGTGTATGTATGCATCAGCACGTATAGATGTACAGCTCTGTGTGGCTGTGTTATTGTTGTATTTTTTTCTCTTTTTCATTTCAATGCTACAGAATTAAATTCAGTTTTTCGATCTAATTGGAACTAATGTGAGGTGGCGCTGATCAGCTGCGTTCGCATAAAAAAGTTCCCAATCTCATATACGCCAACCCCGCTTGGTCCTCTGTAATATCCTGTCTAAATTCAAATACATATATATACGCTAAGAAAAGTAATCTCTTTCACAGTTCAATGAACATGTCGTTAGAATGAAAAATTCAAACAATGCCTTCGAATTTTCGTCTCAATATTAAATGTATGTGTGTGTGTTGTCCACGCGGAAATGACTTGAAACTACGGATGAGTTTTACTATTATGTGCACTGTCAAAACTAAGATTATGATTTTGACAAAACCGTGTTGTACGTATTCACAATGACAACAATTGTTGGCTACTTCACAACATTCGTTGGAATGTAAGCATTTACAACACGGTGTTGTCAAAATCATAACCTTAGTTTTGTCAGTGTGTCGAATGATTACATTCAAAAAATGATGAATTTTTGTAGTCCCGTCATGTTTTTAGTCAGACATAAATCAAATATAACAATAATAATGATAATCAAGAGGTTTTTTTTTTTCATTTTTCACTGCTTTTTTTCTTTGGTGTCTTAACGTGTAATAACCGAATAACATTCATTCTATAGAGAGACGATATTTAAATTCATGAAAAAAAATAAAGAAAAACGATAGGAAACACACATGTCTAGCAGTCAGAGAAGCGAGATAAAGTAACATTTGATATAACCGAACATGTTACTTGCACACAACAATAATTTATCCTGATGAAAGACCTTCATTTTACGTAAGCATGAATGTTTCGGCGTTAGGGAACCATTATTATGGCGAAATGTGTGTGTTTTCTTTTTCTGCCACACACTCGGCACAAGTAAATATTTAGCAGAATTTTCTTCGACTACGTTGTTTAATGGTAAAAACGAATTGAATAGTGGTAACGGTGAGCTTCCATACCATACACATTTATGCGAACATAAAATCGCAAACATTGTACATATTCGATTCATACTGGCATTTACATACATTATGTGCGCCAAAAAATATATATATGTGAAGAAGGTTGTTTGCAGCGCGCACACATTCGTACAAAATTCATATTCAAACATTTGGCACATACTGTATTGCGAACATTTCATACAACGATTAAGCGAAGCATATAAAAAAATGAAATGATAGCCAACGAAAATGGATTCATTTTTATGTTGCTATGTATGTGTTTGAATGTTGAATGTTAAATGTTGTGCACGTGAGAATGATTTTCATCAACTGTGCGAGCAAAATAGATTTGATATATGAAAGGAGGGTGTATTGATATTAAAATGACCCAACTAGAATGGCAACTTGATATGAAAATCGAATTGCGGTACATAGTTTTTGTATTTATTGAGGATTACTATTCATTTTCCTTTGCTGTATATGCTAAATGTATCTTATGTGTGCAGCTTTCGTAAGCTTTAGTTCAATAACGGTAGCCAATGCTTGACAATAAAGTTTTATCCAATTTATAGCTCTTTGCACTCTTTATTATTAAATTTATTTCGTCAAAATCTAATTTGGAACATATTTCGAAGTGTCCGTCAAAAATTTATTCAATAAAGCCATTTGCCTTCAAATGACCTGATCTCTCGTAGTGCATAATTCATTAGCAAATGAAAATTTTATGGAAACAATTAAAACTTGTTAAAATATAGATAATTTCATTGAAATATACCCAAGAATCGATTTATTTATTTTTAAATGAAATGAACATTGAACAGCATCAAAGTTATATGTGTCGGCTAAATAATACTTGATTTAATTTTAAAGTTGAAACTTTTTCCATTGCAAAGACGACAAGAAATTTCAGATCGAAAAGGATTTGAATTTCTATCTTTATTTGCCTGCTCTCAATTCATTGAAGAAAAAAAAATCTATCTATAATGCGATGGACAGAGTAAAAACCAACCGTAAACAGTTCGTAATAATTGAAAGAATGTTCCATCACAAGCCATCCACACCCGATGTTACCAATGTGCGATGTTTCGCATAAGATTCGGATTGATTTGACTTGCAGCATTTTAATTGCATTTCAAAAATATCAATCAAAAAGACGTCGTTCAGTTTGACGTGACAGCAGAACGTGAAAACAGCTTGCCCATTAAAATGTAGTGTATTGGCTTTAGTCGATGTCGCTGGCATGAAACGCGCAAAAAGCACCAATCGGAAAATTTGGTTTCGGCATGTTCACCTTTGCGATTGCTTCTGTCTTCTGACATAACAATCTCTTCCAAATTAAGCGCTGGAAATGACATTTTCTCGTGCTCTGATTTTAATTTCCTTACCCACAGTGATACACGACTCTGATGTCACAATGTCGAGATTGATTTCGCGCAGCAACCATAAAATCACATTAAACTTTTTTTCCAAGCACTCGTACAAAACGTTAATAGAGCCAAGTTGAATTATAATATGTAAAAATTGTCTGGAAGGCATGGTGTAAGTCAGCGTAGAAGCCATGAAGAAAACGACGTTCCACAAATTGTTCTATTCTCAGCCACCGGATCGGAGTGGTGATGCTGCCTGTGGTTTATATCAAGTCGAAATTGAATGTAACAACACTCACTCACAAGCACTGCGTGAATTTACCACAGTTTTCAGATTATTTGCTTGAGTTTGTCGCTATTGCTATCGGAACGTGAACGAAGAAAAATGATTATTGTTCTCTTTCAGATGCTAATTTAACCAAAAGTAAGTTAAAGCTTGCCTCGAGCTTAAGAAATGGAGTTCATTTTCTGAACAAACTACGCAATCAAACTTGAATACTTCTCAGCACTCAGCCATAGACGTGTGCTGAATGCATTGCACCAAATTTCCATTGTAAAATGAAATATTGAGAATTTTGTTTGGTCGATTTTTAGAAGAGCATTTAATACCATTCCATTCATTTTGAGCCAAGAATAATTGAATATTTTCTCTATCGTGTTATTTGAACGAAAAATATATTCAAAAACAATAGAAATGTTCGCTCATACTTTTTTGTGAATGTTAAAGATTTTTTCCCATTGTTTCATTGTGTGCCTGCTAGTGCGTAGCCAACATGAAATTCTGGCTTTAAATTTCGGGTAATGGTTGTGTATTTCATTATCAAACATCTTTCTCAATCCTATTTGCGTCATTCACTGCGTTCCTTCATTTAATTAAGAGTTTATTTTCGATGTATGAGAACTAAAATGTTTTTCGCCCATTCACTGAAATCTCTCTTTTCATTTTAACTGAAAACTCATGCGGGAACTTTTTACTGAGTGAAACTGTTCTTTTTTTAGAGAAAGTCGTACGCCTTCCCAATGGAAACGGAAAGTTGCCATACAATTTGAAAACCCAAACTACCGAAAACCAGTTAAAGAATCGTAAAATTAAAAAACTTCGGACGAAACGTTCACAATTGTAAAAAAGAAGAAGTTGATTTTTTTTATTGCATATTTTATCCAAAAAGGTTCCTCGCCACAAAAACGGAATTAAAAGTATTC